CATGGCAAAATACACGGTTAAAATACACATGTTCACCCTATTGAGACCAGTTGTTATGGTGGAAACTTTGGCCGCTTTGCGGGACGGGAAAATATCATCAGATCGGAATGAAATTTTGCACAGAACCTTGTACCATAGTATCGACAAGAATTCCGACCCGGCCCGACGAATCCGACAAACTTTTTTTTTTGCCATGAAAATGTGGACCACCCTAATGTACATGTGTATGACTATAAAAAATATTTATCAGGGCAAATTTAATGGTATACATGCATGTAGAAGTACATTTTGTACTAATTAACCTTACTTAATGCTGTATACTAATAGATGTAAACATGTATAAGTTAGGTTAGGTTAGTGTATGAATAACAAAATACAGTAAACATATACATGGAGTACTGTATATGTTGCTCTGTGTGACTCTGTTATTTTGCTGACTTTCACAGCTTCTGGCGGACTTTTTGCGAACTTATATATATATATATATATATATTTTTTAACGTTTGAAAAAATCCGCAATGCACTGAAGCCGCGATAAACAAACGCGAAATAGCGAGGGATCACTGTACAAACAAATTTTGAAAACAAACTAGTACATGTCGACAGATAATATACATACTAATGTACTGCAATTTCTGAAGAATAACATTTTTTGCAAAAAATAAATAAATCAAGGTGGTGTGATACAAATGTGTTCATGCAAAATCAAGAAAATTTCTCACAATGTATAAACATTTACTGGTACCAAGGGCTTGTGAAAACGGTGTATTTTCATTGCAATGTGACACGTAATGTCTAATTCTACAAATGAATCCATAACATTTGCTACTCACCGGAAACTCAAAGACCATTATTATAATAAACAGAATGACTGGAAATACTCCACATACAGTTTTTAAAAAAATGTCCTCGTTTACTCATGGGCAATGGGCTCCTTTCCCCAGTTATTCAATGTCAGTGCCACCTTGCATAATATAGACAAACACAAAAATAGGAATACAGTAATCGAATACAAATATAACTTTTGGATTGCAAATTATATACATACAGATATCAAATTTGATTCTGCCAATCGTTTTATTGCCCTGGTGCATGCTTGAAATATTAACAACAATATGTGGGTTACATCGTACAATGTGTCTGTTTGTGTGTTTCCAGTATTAACAGTGTACAACTGTGCTCTGGTTCTGTATATGGTGTATATGTATTTTTTTAACTGTTGTTTTTGATGATTAACTTATTGGCGACATCGCAATTGTCTATCTCGTTGAATGTAGCAACACGCCAATGCTAAAGATACTTCAATAAAGCTACGGAATCCAACTCATTCCACTCACATTGTCCTTATTTTATTTAAGTGTTTCAAAGAATTAAGTAAATGCTTTCATTCTCCAAGTCCCACCCCAAAATGTAGATCAACCAATCACAGAGCCTCTTTCCAGAAAAAAATAAAATCCCCAAATATCTTGAAGTCAAACCTCTGTTGAATTATGCAAAATGATATATTTTTGGTAGTTATGTGTAAAATATTCCTATATTGTAATAGGTCATTTGATGACAGAAAATTTGTTCTAATTTTGTAATGTAAATGTGTGTGTCAAGTTAGTTTGCGAGTTTGGCTAAAAAAAAAAAAAAAGGTCCATTCTGTTGTCGGAACCCACCCTCTGGACCTCGTTCTTAAAAAGAGGGACCAACACCCGGGTCTGCCAATCCAGAGTCACTCTCCCCGATGACACGTGATGTTGCAGAGGCGTTTCAACCAGGACAGCCCAACATTATCCAGAGCATTGAGGAAGCCAATCGCAGGGCACGCATCGACAAACAACCATTCGAGCTCACGATCACACCTAGGGCCAATTTCAATCAACCTATCATGCGTGTTTTTAAAATGTGCGAGGAAATCGGAGTACCGACCGGAGAAAACCCAAGCAGGAACGGAAAGAACATGCAAACAAAAATACAGATTTTCCCTCCACATTTAAACTTTTTATATGGCCTGGCTACGATTGACCTGACCCATATATCCGTTGTAGAAAGTTTTCATACCCTTTTAATCGGCATGTTGACTTTTTACTGTGCAATTTGTACACAATGTGAACCTATTGTCTTGATTCGTTTTTCATGATACCACTTGGATATGTAGTCAAGGTGTAAGCCTGCAGAATCATACTGCAGCACACGTCAGATTTTGTCTGCTACAAAACCGCCACATTCGTGATGACCTTTGGCGTCGATTCGTGATACCTTCAAGAGCCTCTCACCTCCGTGGGACACTGCAGCACCACTGTGCTGGCCTGACTCTTCGGAAGAAGCCCGGAGTGGTCTATGGATTATTTCTGTTGTGGAAGGTGGCAGTTGTCACAGATAACTGGCGTTGAAACACGTGAAACTGTTTGTGATGCCACTTAAATCGCATATGTGCCCTTCTATGTGTGGGTGCGTGGCTCACAGCCTCGA